TGAGGAAGAGCCAGAAGTCTTACAGTGCCAGATTCAGTGAATAAGGTGGATGAGGACACACCATAATGTTTTTGACAGAAATTGCCATAACCAGAAGAGATGTGTGACACGGAGCCTTTCTGTTGTGATTACAAAATACGGTGAATGCTGCCGAGTGCCATCCCATGGAAAGGCAGGGAGGGACCTTTAATGTGGGAAGCAGCGCATGGAACCTTAGTAACACTGTATGACAAGTTTCAACTCATTTAGTGCAGTCAGAGGGGTGTAAGCTATGGTTGAGAGAAGGTGTGTTTTGAAGTGTGCCGTAATTCATCCTCCATCATCACAACGCTTCGTGTCACACATTGCTTCCGGTATATGGCAATTTCTGTCAAAAACATGACGGTGTGTCCTCATCAACCTTATTCACTGGGCCTGGCACCGTGTGACTCCTGGCTCTTCCTCAAAGTCAACATGACCATGAAAGGTAAACATTTTGAATTGATATATTGAGGCAGCCATGACAGTGCAACTAAAGACACGAAAGAAGACTTCCAGAACTGCTTCAGAAAGTGGCAAGAACGATGAGATAAGTGTGTTCGAAGCAAGGGGGAATATTTTGAGGGGGATTAATGGCAATGTGTCTTTTACTGTAATTTTTTAAATGTAAACTTTCACCGTATTTTCTGTTCACACTTCATTGTTTTCACTTAGTCATGTGTCAGCCACTAGAGAGATTGGTTATTCCTCTAAGATGTTCACATGTTAAAAGAGACATTAAATTTATAGTTAGTGTTCTCCGATTTTCTTTTGTAGGTGTCCTGTCAAAACTTGGCAGAAGTGGTGAGAATCCGCATGCCCCACTGAACCTCCTGGCTGACTTTGGTGGTGGTGGCCTCATGTGTGCACTGGGCATCGTGATGGCTCTTTTTGAACGCACACGCTCCGGCAAAGGTCAGGTCGTTGATACAAGCATGGTAAGTAAGTGCTAATTGGGGCAAATTAAAATCCTGCCGGTGGCTCCTAAGAATGATATATGGCTGCCTCACATCTTTTTCTGACTAAGACAAGAGATCCATGAGATTTGAAGTTTGAATCCAAGTTACCTAGGATATTCTTTTCTTTAAAGCCTCATAGCCTTTACATGTGTCAGAATGTTATATTTTGATCATCTGTTTGTGGAGTNAATCGTAATGTAAATATCTTTTTGTTTTCCAATGGTCTTAGGCGATCCCTGTGAAAGGGTCATTCGACCCCCAAAGGGGTTGCGATCCACAGGCTGAGAACCGCTGATATAATGAAAAGTAGAATGTTTCAATAGCCACAGAAGGCAAAGGGCTAGGAATCCACAGAAGAGAGAAACAACACCCAGCTCACAGCATGAGACAGCTGTGGAAAAGGTAGTATTTCATGGAGAGAAACAGTTCATGCTTTATTATGTTTTGAGTATTATTTTGTAAAATATCCTTTTGTTCTTTTCTGATTATAAAAAAATTCTGTAGGAAATTTATAAAAGACATAAAACCATTTAGTATAAAAATTAATTATCCCACCACACATAATAATAGCATTTTGAGTGTTTCTTTCAGTCTTTTCCTGCATGTCTTTATGACTTTTATTTTTATTTTTTATTTTTTTAATTTTTATTTTATTATTAGTTTCAGGTGTGCAGAAAAATGCAATAGTTATCCTTTTCACCCCTCACAAAGTGACAACCCCCTCCCCCATCCACTGCCCTCCCACCCCTGATGTCATACTTACCTATTTATGACTTTTATTTTAAAAAACATGGTAATGAAACAAATCATTTGATATTACACTTTATATATTTTTGTATCTTCTTATGGTTTGCCTTAACATATTAAGAGCACTCTCAAATGCTATGAAGAATTATTTGAAAATATAATTTTAATGGCTGCATAGTTTATTTAACCTTTTCCATTTGGGGAGATATTTTTGCTGTTTCTATTTTTTTTTTCTATTACAAATAATTTGTTCTCTACCCTGGGTTCTTGGCACAAAGCTCCTAAAACCCTTTTAAATAGAGGTGCTAGAAGGTTCTTCTAATATGAGTCTTTGACTCCAGTTCCTAAAACTCTTGTGATTTCCTAAGCAATAAGAACACTAGGAGTATCTTTTGTTCTAACATATGGTTTTGACCCCAGTTCCTCACACAGAGTTTCTAAATTCCTTAGGATTTCCTGGGTGACAGCATCTTTTGTTTTAATGAGGTGACTCTTGATGGGCCCTCAGAAGGGGGCTGGTCACCAGAAAGATCAAACCATGATTAGAAGCTTGGAATTTTCAGTTCCACCTCTCCCTTCTC